AATTGATCGGGCTGAGACTTTGCATGCATAAAATTACTATGACATAGGTATCTCTTTAGAAAGGATTTTGATAATTTCCACCCCCAAGGGAGTAAAATAGGGGATGAAAGTTTGTATGAGTCTTTGTCAGTTTTAAATCGATCGGATTGAAATTTGACATGCAGATAGATGTTATCACATAGGCAACCGCTAAGAAAGGATTTTGATAATTTCCACTCCTAAGGGGGTAAAATAGGGGATGAACGTTTGTATGAAACTTTGTCAGTTTTTAACTGATCGGGTTGAAATTTGACATGCAGATAGATGTTATAACTTAAGCATCCGCTGTGAAAGGATTTTGATAATTTCCACCCCCAAGGGAGTAAAATAGGGGATGAAAGTTTGTATGAGATATTGTCAGTTTTAAATCGATCGGGTTGAAATTTGGCATGCAGATAGATGTTATGACGTAGGCATCCGCTGTGAAAGGATTTTGATAATTTCCACCCCCAAGTGGGTAAAATAGGGGATGAAAGTTTATATGAGCCTTTGTCAGTTTTACACCGATCGGGTTGAAATTCGGCGTGCAGATGTATATTATGACGTAAACGTCCCTTTAGAAAGGTTTTTAAACATTCTCACCCCAAAGTGGGTAAAATAGGGGGTGAAAGTTTGTATGATACTTTGCCAGTTTTAAATTGATCGGGCTGAGACTTTGCATGCATAAAATTACTATGACATAGGTATCTCTTTAGAAAGGATTTTGATAATTTCCACCCCCAAGGGAGTAAAATAGGGGATGAAAGTTTGTATGAGTCTTTGTCAGTTTTAAATCGATCGGATTGAAATTTAACATGCAGATAGATGTTATCACATAGGCAACCGCTAAGAAAGGATTTTGATAATTTCCACTCCTAAGGGGGTAAAATAGGGGATGAACGTTTGTATGAAACTTTGTCAGTTTTTAACTGATCGGGTTGAAATTTGGCATGCAGATAGATGTTATAACTTAAGCATCCGCTGTGAAAGATTTGATAATTTCCACCCCCAAGGGGGTAAAATAGGGGATGAAAGTTTGTATGAGACATTGTCAGTTTTAAATCGATCGGGTTGAAATTTGGCATGCAGATAGATGTTATGACGTAGGCATCCGCTGTGAAAGGATTTTGATAATTTCCACCCCCAAGTGGGTAAAATAGGGGATGAAAGTTTATATGAGCCTTTGTCAGTTTTACACCGATCGGGTTGAAATTCGGCGTCCAGATGTATATTATGACGTAAACGTCCCTTTAGAAAGGTTTTTAAACATTCTCACCCCAAAGTGGGTAAAATAGGGGGTGAAAGTTTGTATGATACTTTGCCAGTTTTAAATTGATCGGGCTGAGATTTTGCATGCATAAAATTACTATGACATAGGTATCTCTTTAGAATGGATTTTGATAATTTCCACCCCCAAGGGAGTAAAATAGGGGATGAAAGTTTGTATGAGTCTTTGTCAGTTTTAAATCGATCGGATTGAAATTTGACATGCAGATAGATGTTATCACATAGGCAACCGCTAAGAAAGGATTTTGATAATTTCCACTCCTAAGGGGGTAAAATAGGGGATGAACGTTTGTATGAAACTTTGTCAGTTTTTAACTGATCGGGTTGAAATTTGGCATGCAGATAGATGTTATAACTTAAGCATCCGCTGTGAAAGGATTTTGATAATTTCCACCCCCAAGGGGGTAAAATAGGGGATGAAAGTTTGTATGAGACATTGTCAGTTTTAAATCGATCGGGTTGAAATTTGGCATGCAGATAGATGTTATGACGTAGGCATCCGCTGTGAAAGGATTTTGATAATTTCCACCCCCAAGTGGGTAAAATAGGGGATGAAAGTTTATATGAGCCTTTGTCAGTTTTACACCGATCGGGTTGAAATTCGGCGTGCAGATGTATATTATGACGTAAACGTCCCTTTAGAAAGGTTTTTAAACATTCTCACCCCAAAGTGGGTAAAATAGGGGGTGAAAGTTTGTATGATACTTTGCCAGTTTTAAATTGATCGGGCTGAGACTTTGCATGCATAAAGTTACTATGACATAGGTATCTCTTTAGAAAGGATTTTGATAATTTCCACCCCCAAGGGAGTAAAATAGGGGATGAAAGTTTGTATGAGTCTTTGTCAGTTTTAAATCGATCGGATTGAAATTTGACATGCAGATAGATGTTATCACATAGGCAACCGCTAAGAAAGGATTTTGATAATTTCCACCCCTAAGGGGGTAAAATAGGGGATGAACCTTTGTATGAAGCTTTGTCAGTTTTACACCGATCGGGTTAAAATTCGGCGTGCAGATGGATATTATGACGTAAACGTCCCTTTAGAAAGGTTTATGAACATTCTCACCCCAAAGTGGGTAAAATAGGGGGTGAAAGTTTGTATGATACTTTGCCAGTTTTAAATTGATCGGGCTGAGACTTTGCATGCATAAAGTTACTATGACATAGGTATCTCTTTAGAAAGGATTTTGATAAATTCCACCCCTAAGGGGATAAAATAGGGAATAAGAGTTTGTATAAATCTTCTTAGCCGTTGAATTTAGAATCATTGAATCTTTTTGAATTACATTCGGTAAAACGATGATTTAGGACCTGGGTAACGTATGATAGTTTTTTCACAGATGTCTCACGAGAACGGGAACTATGCGTCAATGCCCCAGGACTCTCTTACTCTTAACCACTGAACTTATTCTAGAGAGATTTGGTACAACAATAGTCGATAGAATAGTTTTTATTACTCAAACCTTACGTGATCGGGCACTGTACTGGTAAGATCCCTGCGCGATTATTTATTTATTGAAACTACGATAAATCATTTCAAAATAGGTAAATCTTACTTGGGCACTGAATTGATTCTGGTTAATTCTGTCAGAAGTCATTAATCTACGCGGACGAAGTCGCGGGCAACAGCTAGTTCATTAATAAAATGAATGTTAATACCTGACCTTTTGCGTATCAATAGAATTGAATTTAAATGTAATACAGTGAATTAAATGAATGAGAGTGTCGGTACAGTTTTTTTTATAAATTTATTCGTATGGCAATGAAGGTTAATGAACTTAAAATGGGAACATTTGTCTATGTAATTGTGAGTTGTTTTACAAGTACATGCATTAATTGTGTCGGTACTAATTTTATGTACCTATTGGTTATTTTTAATAACAGACAATAATGATGTTTCCTAAGCCTTGCCTCGTATGCAGTAAGGTGTCAACAACCCTACTCTTCGCGTGTATTTGCATTGTTCTCACATATACGTACAACATTGGATAATTTATAAGAGATTTTGTATTTAATTTTTTTAAAAGAGTAACGAATTGAGTTTCTATTCAAATAGAGTTTTGAATCTATATTTACAGCTAGAACACCACAGGCGTTACAAGTGTGTTACCGGCCTTTTGGGGAATAGGAGTTGGAGCATTGTTGGAGGTTCAGGGATTGGGGAGATTGAGGAAGGAGGTGGGGGGATAATTAGGGGCATCCGGTAACCTTACTCACACGACGGAATTCAACGTAAGCGTTTTTTCACATCAGTTTTTCAGTTCAAGCCGGCCCATTCGTGCCGAAGCATAGCTCTCCCACACTTGTTGTCTGATAAACAGTGTTCACAACACTGTCTGATATATGCACCAGAGTGCCAAGCACGAATAACTATCGCATTCGTAACGTAATAGTATCGAGCGCGTTCGGCGCTCTGATTGGCCGACCCAAGTGAACCAACCAATCAGAACGCCTAACTCGCTCGATACTGTTACGATACGAATGCGATAGTTATTCGTGCTTGGCCCTCAGAACCTTTTAAAGTGTGATCTCCAACCCGTCTGGAAATTATGACAAACCCTCTTATGAAGAGGAAACTCAAATAATCTAAAACCATCAACTGTATTCTAAAAAAACCTGATAAAACCGCTCTCGACTCAAGGAATCCAACCGCAGAAATATTATATCTATGAATCTAACAAGGAAACTACCTACCTTCACTAAAATGATTTACAAAAGGTATCAAAATTAGATAGTTACTAGCTCTCCTGCGGACATCCACGCCGAAGGGGATCATGGTATGCACCGAGTACTCCGATGAACAGCTTCCACCTGGAGGGGAGAGGATATTAAGGATCGGGTAGGATTAGAACTAGGATTGGGCGAGAAATGGACCTGGAATTTTGGGTACGGGAATATTTACGCTCGAGCCTCGAATATTGACATGCTACTCAATTTTAATTTTACTTTATAATTTCTTACTAATTTTAATTTTAGAATTTATAGCGACAATACCATACTTAAGCACGATTTAAAATTGAGTAGCGTATAGCGGATATTCAGTATTCGGGCATTAGCCTACCTAATCCGTAAATTCTTTCTAAATAATGACTACAGGTAGATAACACACAAAAAAAAAAGAAAAAAAAACACACGAATTGAGACCCTCTTCCTTTTTTGGGAAGTCGATTAAAAATAAAATATACTCATTTTAAATATGTATTGGTCCTAGCTGAATCTATCGGTAAAGCGTAACATCAGAAGTGTCGTCGCTCTCACATTACCATCTGTATTTTCTAAGGTAAACTGGGGTATAAAGACGAACGAGCAGAATCAGATGAACCACCTGGTGTTAAGCAATCAGATCTCCCCATGGACAACCGCAACCCCAGAGGAGTTATAAATGCATTTATCTTTTGGGTTTCGAGAATTGGGCTCTTATAAAAGATTTTTAAATAAATGGTAGTTCTAGCTTTTTTTTTAAGGGGTAAAATCATCGAATGACTGCTCCCGCCTGGGTGAGGCGGGAGGGAGTGTCAGACTCTTACTGACTAAAAACCACCCCGTTCCTTGTCCTGCACGTCGAGCCGGTGCCCTGGTTACCCGTTATGTTCTCCGCGACATGGTAGTTCTAGCTAAGGTCTTAATTTGCTGACCAAATAACATGGTTTAAACATTTTACACCAAAAACAATGTGAAAGAAATATACGCACTGATCATCCTCGCGAAGCCGAAGTCACAAAGCTTGACGACTCCCTCGCTAGTGAGCAGTATGTTCTCCGGCTTGACGTCTCTGTGGATGCAGTTATGTCGGTGGCAGTACGCCACGCCCTGCAGCGTCTGCCAGATTATCTGCTTCGATAGAAGCTCTGGACAGCCCTGGAATAAGGAACTGCGTTATTCAAAGCCAAAGTCAAAGTTAAAGCATTGGTACTTTTGAAACGTCACTTAATAACATAACATCACGCCTTTTATCCCTGAAGGGGTAGGAAGAGGTGCACATTATACCACTGTTCAATGTAACACCCACTTTTCACTATCTGTGTTATGAGTCCCATGTAATAGGGGGTGAACCTTTTGCCATATACCGGGCACAATTCCAGACTCCGTGCTACTACTGAGATTTTTTTAAAAACCTAGTAGTACTTTGCCCGACCCGGGAATCGAATCCGAGACCCCTTGCCCGGCAGTCACTTAATACAACAAAAATAATGGTCTGTCAGTCGTATAGTACCCGATATGTAGCTTGGCAAGATTTTGTTGTAGTGGGGGTAAGCTCATGTATGTATTGTGTATTTTCTCATTATTAGATAGGTAACTTACTTTAACTTTCAATATAAATTCCTACTCTAAAGCAGGCTACACGCCTTACGATTTAATTGATTAGTTCGACTGTACATTTAAACTGCATATTTAAATCATAAAATGTGTAAAGCAAACAGTTTAAACTATACAATTGTACTTGAAGTTATGTATTTACGCTGTATGATCGTGGTGGCCCGGGAATTTAAGACGCCCACTTCTCATGCATGAGAGTGCGGGTTCGGAACCTACCAACGGCAAGTACCAATGTGTTTTTATTTCGAGGTACATGTTCTTCCTAGAATTATCTAGACACCACTGACGAACGGTGAAGGAAAACATCGTGATGAAACCTGGGATTATAATTTCTAAGTTTGAAATCACCAACCCGCATTGAGCAAGCGTGGTGATAAATGCTCAAACCTTCTCCGTGCGAGAAGAGGCCTTTGGTCAACAGTGGCCACTTAGAAACTATTGATGTACGTTGTATGGACCTATGATTCAACTGTACATATCGACTGTACAGTTAAACTGCATAATTAAATCGTAAGGTGTGTAGCATGCATAACTTTCGTCCAAGTACGATTTCCTCCACGTACGATTAAAACTAAACGATAACATAATAGAAATCATAGTAAAATATTGAATATTGAGAAAGTACACAAATATCATCAATTTCACAAGCCCAGCTACCATTGATAAGTACTTTAGGTACATGCGAACTTACACAAGGTCAAAAAAGCATTAGATTTACTGCAAACATTGCGATTTTGAAATTATGTCAATCTTCGAATACAAGATTTCTTTGAAAGGGTCATAGTGTTAAAATCGAACCGAAAATTGGACAATAGTGACCGATAATTGATAAATAAACCCCGTGCTAGGCATTTGCAATCATTTGACCGAAGACATAGAGATACTAATACATATATAATACACGTATTATTCATTGTTTGAAATTTCCTAACACCAACTTAACATTGAGGGACAAATATTACGTTACACTATAAATATGACCTCGACCTTTATTGCAATATCTCATAATCGTAGCCTCGTAGCACGACTACGCAGCCCGCTACGAAAGTGCTACACGATTGCTTTAGACGCACGCTACGCCAGCTACGCGCTACGATCATTTTTGAGGTGGAATATTGGGTACAAATTATGTATATTTAATTCACTATGTACTATATACTAAATTCTAAGTTCTAATTTTTTTAATTAGGTATTAAAATTGTGATCAATGCCGTGATAATAATTTAAAGTTATTTTCGAATTCTATGATAGCGTGGCATTTGTTTTTAATATTCATTAATAAACTATTTTACGCAATACTTATTACTTCATTTATACAAATGAAAACTTTTAATGGCTGTGCGGCTGATAAGAATGTTACACCTATGTATTAGGAACTTATTCTAATTATAGTTATTTATTTACAAACACCACAAATACCTATACATTTGCACAACCCAATTAAAAAAAATACAGTTTTTCTCACAACATAACATAACATCACGCCTTTTATCCCCGAACGTGCAGGCAGAGGTGCACATTACGGCACTTAATGCCACTGTAAAATATACCACCCACTTAATTATTTAAGTTATGAGGCCCATGTAATAAGGGGTGAGCCTATTTTCATATACCGGGCACAATAGCAGACTCCGTGCTATTACTGAGATTTTTTTTTAACTCTGTTGTACTTTGTCCGACCTGGGAACCGAACCCGAACTTGTAATAACAAGGAACTCATAACATATGTAAATATTCAAGCGGGTGTAACATTGTACAGTGGCATTAATTAAGTGCCATAATGTACACCGCTGCTAACCGCTTCGGGGATAAAATGTGTGATGTTATGTATGTCATAATTTTTTTTTTATTTTAATTCAAGATAATTAAATTCATAATTTATAGAATGATCATATGTAAAGAAAATCGAAAACTCTATTTATAGAATAAAATCGAGAACTCACTAACTATAAAGGTTCGTTCACACTGCTCATTAAGAGTGCGGTCGTTGCATGCCACTGCGGGAAACTATGCGGTTAGAACATTATACTACAGAACGACCATACCATTACTAATCATTAATAAACCTTAGAAAATTACCTATCAACGTTGAACTGCAGCCGTTTATGTTTTATTGAAGCTGTCATTACTATCAAATTAATGTGGGTATCGTTTTGTAAGTAATTTAGGGGTTAATGTTTTAATTCTTAGTATTGGAGTTATAGATTGGAAGGTTTAGCGTTATTTACGGTTGAAAATTAAAAGGGAGAGGTTTTATGAAATACTAGCTTTTACCCGCGGCTTCGCTCGTGTCACAAAAGGATAAAAAGTATCCTATGTGACATATACCAATACACACAGCGCCATCTATACCAATAATTTCGTTTTCCCTCGAGAATTTCAAATTTTTACGGGATAAAAAGTAGCCTATTATTTAATCCAGACTTCTAACTTCACGTCTGCAAAAATTCAAAGCAATCGGTTCAGTAGTTATGGCGTGAAAGCGGAACAAACAAACAAACTCACTTTCCGATTTATAATATTATTATATAGTATTTAAAATATCCAATATACTATTTCATACGACTTTTGAAGATGAATCGATAGGGATTTGTTGAAATATTTTTCTTTTTTCTGAGTGTGATATCCTCTTTCAATTATATATCTTCAAAAACCTATAATTTGGCACAACAGAGGTCAAATATAATACCTGCCAACCTTCCCAATAAAAATGGCAATAAAATTAGCTATTCAAGATTTCCAAACGTATACGGAAATGGACTGAATATTTTTCTTTTAAAACACCCACATATGTATGTATATATGCACATAGTTATGTTAGCAAAACTGACCCAAAAACGGTGGTATTCAAATCGTTTGGCAATGCCCTATTTTTTACACAAAAGCGTTCTTTATTGATTTCGATTAGGTATGAGAAAGTATTGTTTCGTTGGTAGATGGGGCGCAAATGCGACCATAAAATAATAAGTATCGGTTTCGGGATCTGCAGGATACATGTTTCATTAAACTTGTTAATAACTAGCTAATGCCTGCGACTTAACCCGTGGAATAAGAAGTATTCTATGTTTTATTGCACACCATAATCCAGAACATAACATAACATCACGCCTTTTATCCCCGAAGGGATAGGCAGAGGTGCACATTACGGCACTCAATGCTACTGCATAATGAAAACTCACTTTTCAAATGGTTTCATAATTGTTTCATTAATGGTGAACCAATAAAAATTGGACAAAAAAATACATTATTTCATTGATTTACAAAGTGCTTAATTTTATACATCCTATTTTATTAATTGACCCTATTTTGCTAGAAACACTATGGTATGAGAAGATTCCCAAAACGATAACTTATTCTTTGATAGAATTTTAACTTTATTTCAAAAAGAAAAAGTTGAAATTCCATAAAAGCTTTGATAGAATTTTTACTTATACCACTGTAAAATGTAACACCCACATTTCACTATTTATGTTATGAGTCCCATGTAATGCCTAAGGCTCACCTAGGGGGTGAGCCTATTGCCATATACCGGGCACAATCCCAGACTACGACTGAGATTTTTTTTTAAATCCTTTGCCCGACCCGGGAATTGAACCCCTTGCCCGGCAGTCGCATTCATAATATTAGTAACATCTTGGTATCTACAATTTGTTTCTTGAATTCAAACAACTTACAAGTGTATTATCAGCCTTATGCGTGTATAAAACTCCAGAACTTTCTTCACGTAAACTATGACGTCACAGTCGCGTGCCACTGTCACGCTGTCCCGTCTACTCACGTGACAGACTTGAGTAGTTGAAAAATAGGGCATCCAGATCAGAGATCTGGATACCCTATTTTTCACATTTTAATCTTCAACTAACATATTATTTTAATCTGTTTCTTGATCATAATATTCAGCGGTTAAATTAAATGTTACTGTGAAAACTTCATTTAAACTCAAACAAAAAATCAGACCAGAACTAATATCAACTTGTCTGTGTGGGAATTGAACCCACGACACTTCGTCTTTGTAGTTGAAGAACGTGTTATAATATTGCACTCAGTTGTGACCAGGGTCTTAACCATTAAGCCAAACATGTCGTTGAATATGTAACAAAATAGCGAACCGCTTCATGCACTTTGTTTACATTAATGAGATGTATATTGTATGACATCATTCATTCGATGCGCTGCCATATATGCAACATGAAAGATTTCTCACTAACACAATTCTTGATGATGTTTTGCCACTTATTGACATATTCCCCCCCTTTCACAGCGTTCAAATAAAAACACTGTGGAAAATTTATAGCATGCTGCATCCAAGGATCATCATAAATCTCCCAATCTTCTATAACACCTCCACATGAAAAACATGCTGCTTTATCATATGGATTATTTCCGTAATAAAAGAATCCAGCATCAGCCATTTCCATCACTAATCTTTTCTTTGAATTATTCGTCCCCCAGTAATAATTAAAGGATAATTCACGTATTTTGTATGCATTATACATATCATATCGAGGTTTATATTCAGTTTGAAACATATTTTATTTATT